GCCAATGCCCGTGTCAAGAACTAATTTTCAGACAAGTTACTCTGAATGGTAGCCGCTGCTGATTAATATTCGATCTCTACAGTTGCGAAACGGTTATGGAACTCTACTACTGCTTCTGACGGAGCAAGTCAGTAGTATAGCTGGCGGTCCTTTTCATGTCTTACTCTGATATCCGGAGCTCCTGGCGGCGGTCATTTTAGCTCCAATAATCCTCCCGTCGGTTGTGCTTTTTCTTTAAACAAACAACAGCTAAGGAATCGCAGAGGGCCTGTCATTTTTAGCGTTATGTTATGGTTGAGGATATAGGGGAAAAGTTGGCTTCGGCAATACCTTAACCTTTTATCGTCAGGGGGGTAAATAACGTCCTTGAGAGCTCAATTTTGGCATGTGGATACATTGTGTTTCAGAGCAACTATTGGCCAAATTTGAGTGCTGTAGGACCTTGTTTACCCCCCTGACGATAATAGGTTAAGGTATTGCCAAAGCCGACATTTCCCCTAGTTGCCAGTAAATTATTTTTTTCGGTTGAAGTTTTGACAACTCCGTCAATACGATGAAGCACCCAGAAACACACATGAAACACAATACGCACAAACACAAGGTGGCAGAGTGACTTACCCCCTGGTTATAATTTTGTTTCAATTGTTGTAATGATTTTTTGCACACAGGGGCTCTGAAATAAGATTATATCAACATTTGTTATTAATAACAGAAGTTGATATAATAATGTTATAATTTAGCTATTCCATTCTGGTCGGGTGGATATTGAACCCACAGAGATGGGCACAACTAACCGAAAACTTAGCTTCGATATCCGATAATCCACTAATTTAAAACGCTAGCTTCGATAACCCCTAACGATCTATTAATTATAAAATTATCGGAAGCTAACGATAACCACTAAGCGATATCTATTTTCGCTGCAGCTGTAGATCCACCTCTATTTGGATGATATAATTTATTGTTAACGTACTAAAATTCTTCAATCATTTCGATGGTAAATCTGTCTCGTCAAATCTTTCGGTGGAAATAGCGTCAAGACATTTGTTGATCATTACATTTGCTTTTGAACTAGACAGCACAGAATCTCGACTTTGTTTACAATGTTTTTTTTTGTTTTTACAGTAAAGTAATTGTTCAAAGAAACGACTTGTAAACACCATTGAACTGCATATAGATTTACACTATTTTAAAATCTTATGACATGAATCTTTTTTTTTCCGAAAATGTTTTCAAGGTTTTAAAGCGTTCATCAAGATCAAATCATGGACTAAAAGACTATGATAAACCCAAAATTGTTACATGAGTATACTGCCGTTATACGCATAAGAGTCCCACGGTGCATAAGGGCAGTATAGTCCCCGTAATATACACACTTAATCTAGCTCGGTAAAATCTCCAACAGCCGATTACCTCGGCATTTGCCTTTGCTGATATCTCTGCAAAATATCTGTTTGTTAGCTGATATCTCAGCAAAATGTTATTTGTTAGCTGAGTCTCGGCAATTGTTTTACTGAATCTCAGCAAAATAAATTGCAGAATCACTCGGCTGTTGGATTCTCGGCGAAAAAAAATAAGTGTGTATGTCTTATATTATGTTCATATGTAAATCATTGGGATATAAAATTCACTGCATTTTTAAAAGCGATATCTTTGTTGGACTTGCAATGAAATTCAAAGGATTTAATTAATTTAAATAAAACCAGACAACATTTGCAATGGTGGTTTTGTGCTACTGAACTCCATTCGACAACAATTCTAGAAGGGCATTCAAAAAGCTCCTATCTGCTTTGATCGATTCTCTTCATCGACTATCTTTTTCGTCAATAACTCAGCTGCAAAAACATTCCCAGTTGTGTTTGATGTTTTGGACGCTCGATAAGAAATGTCAAAGTATGTGGTAAAAATAACACGAAATAAGTTTGCACAGCCATAGTTCTTTCTATCAAAAGAGAAAGTCGGTGAAGAGAGTCAATCAAAGCAGATAGAACTTTTTGAAGTTTTTATCTAGAATTCAGGTTCTGTCAGTTTGCTCTTAGCTGCCAACTGAAACACCTGTTTTTCGGTGCGAACCGACGATAGTCTTTTTATACAATAGCAACTATTATTTCGGTGGTTGTCTATTGACTGCAGCTCGTTCACTTGTGTTAGTTGCCGTTGGAAGCAAACAACTGTAGATGTTTGTTGAAATAAAGCTGACGATCGAATTGAAAAATTTTAACCGAAACCCACCACGGCTGAAATTAGCCATTTCGAGAAAGTGCTGGACACAGATCCCGTTTAAATCATCGCTACATACCGGATTGCGGAGCTGAAATCTATGTTCATAATTTTACATCGGATTAACCGCTTGTTACCTAACCGTGAGAAATTAATTTTCTATTATGCTGATATAAGGGCAGTCGAAGTACACATGTCACCTGAGGGAGCAACGTTCAATACGTGCAAGTGTACGATCTTCCACCAAGAGGTTTCTGACTGCAATCTAGCGTGGGTGCTGGGTAAATATGGTTATGTGAACCGTGTCGTACGGGAGAAATCCCCAACTCGCTGCTTTTCATCAATCAGAAGGGGAATATATACTATCAAGGGAACAAAAATGTGTGTTTCCTATGTAAAATGGATGGACATCGATTGAATTCCTGCTCCAGAAAGGCTTGGAAGTAGGCAGTACAACAATGAGAAGAAGAAAACAAACAACGGAACAAAGAACTGAGCAGTAGCAGTACGTACCCTGGTGTAGGGACCAGGCATACCAAAAGTACCGCCTCATGACAGTATTCCAACGGCTGTCGCTTTCTTTTCCCTACGACAGCCTTGAGATTGAGCTATAAGCGACAGCCCACAGTGAGGCTGTTATATGACATGCAACGTTGCCGTCTTGTGCAGTACACGACAGCTCGTTCTTAGTCACGTATTTTGTTCGTTCGGCTATGACAGCCTCGGATGGTCATTCTTAACGTTCCTCGTACATACAACAAGCAGTCCGTCGAACTGCCGATTCGTTGCTGCTGTCTTTGAAATTTTGTTTGTATGTCGTAAGACTGCTACTACACTACCACTACTACACGCCGGAGCTCGTTCGGTTGCTATCACGTTCGTGCTGCCCATTGCAAAATTTTCATCCGATATTTTTTTAAAAACGCGCGGTCTCCGGCGAAAAATATAAGCCTACCCGACACCAACCTGACTTCTACCAAACCCCAACCAACCCCAACTCGATGTTGGCCCGACATTGACCCGACATAAACACAAAATTGACCCGACATCGACCCGGCATTTGCCCGACGTCGACCATAAATTGACCTTACATTGATCCGACATCGGGCTGACATATCTGTTCGGGATCATTATTCTGGGTTTCTTCCATACTCCACTGCCGTATATCAATTGTATATAATGTCTCGTGACAGCCTTTTCGTGACAGCCACTTGGGTAAGCTGAGTGAAGTCGTCGGTTTGTGAAGGCTGTTATGACGACAGAAACATTGAGAACCTGGTCATAAAGAAATGTATAAATACAGCCCATTCGGTTCACTACGTTCCAAGCACGATGATTTTAGCAATGCGGGTATAGATGCGACTGTTCTAATACAGCTTTCATTCGTTCGTGCGTGTGCTGTTGCCAATACACTTCGAATTCAGAGCTGAACGTACGGTAGCAAGCGGCAGTAAAGCACACAAAGCAACAGTCAATTCAGGTATAAACCAACTGTCGCGAGGAGGCTGTACTATTTGGAAGCCTGGTAGGGACTGGAGGTACATCGTCAATAGACTACAACAATATAGACTCAACAGGATCAGTTGAGGTGCTGGAAGAGGTGGTGCAAATGGACGTGACGTCCCCGGAGGCCAAGAAAATAAGTGAAAAGAAAGCAACCGATGCTCATAAACAGCAGCCGCCTGTTTTCAAGCATCCGAATGACGAATGGCAACAGCAAACAGCTAATATAGTTACTAGAACACTTGAAATGTAACAACAAATAACAATCAACGGAATAAAAACATGGTTTTAATACTTGACTTTGAAAGATAGAAGTCTATTATTTATTCCTTAAAATAAAAATTGTATGAGAAATCAGTTTCGATTGAAACAGGGAATAAGGATGTCAATTACTTTAAAAGTTTACAAATGTTAAGGCGTTACAGAAAAAATTGCAGCTAAATCTATTGCCTGAATGTCAGATTTTCCGCAACGTATCAAATTCGTATGAATTGTGCGCAGATCTTTAGTAGGTACTAGCCAATAGAAGCAGAATTCTACTGTGGTAAAAGTACTTTGGTGTTTGGTCGATTATTATCGCTTCTTGAATATCAATTTATCGCAGCTAACTACTTCGATAACGGATTTGAATATAAGCGAAAACGATAATCGTCAACAAAGGATCAACAGGATCAAAGGACTTTCTTTCCTTCCGAAGGAAGTCACGAGATTTTTAAAATCAAAAAATCCAAACGATTTCGGTGGATATTGAACCCAGACTCACTGGAGTACGTGTGATTTTAATGTGACTTCTTTACATGTTATGCTACAAATTCCGAAAGTTTCCGAAAGGACGATGGAATAGTTCACTGGTAATTTGAAGGAGAATTTAAAAGATTACTGGTAATAAATTTCATTTTGAAATAGACAATTCCAGACCATTAGTGTTACCAACAGTTTAGCTGGAATCTAAAGAATTATATATTTCTATGTTTGTATCATTTAGAAAAAGTTGAACTTTTACGATGAATTTAAGTTATTTTAACAAAAAATATTAAATTTGCGAATAAATTATTTATTTTGCATTACCGTCATGATGGCTGATTTGCACTATCTGTACAAAACAACGTGCAATGACTGCTTTAAATATTAAAAAAAATGCATAAATGCAGTTTTTTTTCAGGTCAATTCAAATGACTGGTTTGTTTAACAAAATTGCGATAAGCTTAAGCCAAATCCAAAACCTGTTCTCAACAGAAACGCAACTAAAAACCATCTTCTTTCTCCCTTCTTAACAGACCACTATTGGATGAAGATAAATTCGCCTCATCAGCATCGTCTCTATCTCGGCGGTGTGCAAAGTGGTGACCCACCGACCCTGAGAGCATCCTCAACTACTACATCTGCAGCGTCCTGGCCGTCTCGTAACCGTAACACAAAAACCACCAGAAACCACTAACCAGAAAGAAACGAAGGAATCACCATACACCACTATCCGAAAGCGTCCGTTCTGGAACCGCTGCTAGTCAAGTGATTCTCGTCGTGACATTCCGTGTAGTTCCGCGCAGTAAAAACGACGACCTAGGCGAAACCAAGTATGGCACCATCGACGACAGCAGCTTCACCGTTGCTACGATGGTGGCCCTGTGGCGGCAGCATCGGCAGCACCACGACGACGGGCTTAATGAAAGCAAATTTATTCATTGCCATCAACCGAATCATCTTCAGTTCCTTCAGCAGTGCCGTGTTCGGGATCGGAACGTCGTTCTTCTGGGCTGCTCACACTGGCTCGCCGGGACCCGTCGTCGACGCTGCCATCCGGCTGACGCAACGTAACAATCACGGAAACATTTCCGAATTATTGGATAATTTATTGCGGGGCTACGATAATAGCATACGACCGGACTTTGGCGGTAAGTGCGGCGGGATGGCAGGGGAGGAAAATACTTTTTCTGGTTTGCTTTTTTGCAAGTCAATCGAAAATGATTACCGAAAGATTACGGCGGGTAGTAAAGGGGCGATAACGTTTGTGCTTTAAGGGCGGTCTGTGCGAATGTAATTACCCGTATCAATCGCTCGGTTTGTCATGAAAACAAACCGTCAGCTTCAGCTAGGGTTCTGTGAAAACTAGAAATCTAGAACATGGGTACCTATATCAACTGCAGGTGGTAAGAGGATAGCCAACTAACAAAACACCTGTCCGTATCAACTCCGAGTTTCTTTGATAAAAAGTAAAATTACATTCCAAGTAAATTTTCTCTGCATTCATTCTCATCTTTCTTTTCTTTCCAAATCAGGGCCACCCGCTGTCATTGAAGTCGACATCATGGTACGAAGCATGGGACCGATTTCGGAAGTGGACATGGTAAGTAACAGAACCTCAGTATTACTTTCTTTGTTGTTTAACAAGTACTTGAAAGTATTCAATATGCTATTCGGAGTAAACGGTGGAACCATCACCACCACCACCACCACCACCAGAACAGGATCATAATTCACACAAAATAACCTTCGACCGGTTCACGCAAACCATCATTATTGTGTTGCAAAGCAAAAGGCGGAAAAACTTTTCCCGCCAAACTTTTTTCTCTTTCAGCAAGTTTTTCACATTTCATCTCGGCTGAAGCACCCCATATTTATTACTCAGCTCTTGACTCCTACTCAATATGAGCTACTGACGATTGATTCAACCTGCTGTCTATCAGGCGCTCTTTGCCCTGCTGTTGGGTATGAAAACGAGAAGGAGGGACGAAAACCACATTAAAGAATCGAGATTCCATCACTTCCCAGCTTCCATCAAAGCCAGCATCTACTCCACTCGGAAGCGGCAAACCACAATAGACCGCATGCAGCACCCAGTTTTCCAGTTTGTTGTAGTTACTACACCGAAACGATTGCGGTTTTACTGTTGTTGCTGTTGTTTTTTTTTATCAAAACGAAACAACACGATTCGGAGGAAATGTCAGAACGGAAAGGTGAAGGAAAACTTTATTATTATATTTCACTGATCCACCATGGAGCACAGGCTTTATTTGATCTCACTCCAATTTGGCAGACAGCAGTGTTGTTCGCATCAACGACTTGACGATAGTTTGAAGTTCTAGAGAAATTAGTATGGCTCAACAATAAGTTTCTGTCTACTTATTTCTGAAGGTGACCCCAGACAACCAGAATTTGACATAACAACCACCGCTGAAAGACAAGTTAATACGAAGAACGAGTAACTTCTGACGAGCAAACTGGCATGGATCGGAATGTAAAAGTAATTTTGGTAATTTTGACTTGTAAAACTTTTGTCTACGCCTGTTGCCGCGATAGTGCTGTCTCAAATATGATCTTACAAAATATACATCAAAAGTTTTCGGAAACGTGCAAATCAGCTATTTCAAAATTGTTATGTTTTTAACTCGTATACCAAATAACAGTGTTCTCGTGGTCCAGCTCACTTAAAAAACATGACAAATTAATAAATTGTTCAATTTAAGCAATGTGATCACTTGTTGAGTCATTTTATATATTTGTTTGATTACAAAATTAAACAACAATCATGTACTTTAACTATTTGTTTGTATACTCCGTTTCATAGTAATAGAACCACTGAAAAAATGTAAATATGTATTTGATAGTGTATCTGTTTACTTCATTCATTAGCACATGATGACCATGTGAGAGAGCTAACGTACACCTCAATACATTTGTATTTATAACCATGGTTTGTGAATATAAAAAAAGATAAATGTGTGAAATTTGTTGTTTCACAACTATGTATAAAACCATTCGCTTTAGTTGCAGTCCAGTTTTCTTTCATCAATAATCGTGTTGTGACGCGATTGTGTAAGCTCTAAAATGCCGCGTGAAACGTATTTGTCGAATCAAGAAAAAGGAAAGATTTTGGCTTATCGTGAAAGTGATACTAGTATTCGTGAAAATGCGCGCCGTTCAAGATTACATAACGTTATCAGCATTTTTTAAAGAAATTCTGAAGGATATGGTGGACATAACAAAAGAGAACCTAAGAAAAAGCTATCTGAAAGGACGCAACGCAGAATAATTCAAGCTGCAAGCAACTCACTAGAGCTTGAAGTAGGATTGGAGTAGGGTATGTAAAGGGTGATACGGTCAAAATTTGGTCAATATCAACTTGACGTATTTCTTTCAATTTTGCATTTAAAAAACCTGAACACCCCTCATTTTGAAGGTGTGTGTGTGTAGAATGTTGCTCCTATTTTGATTTTGGAATTCACTCTTCAGTTGTCAAAATGCCGTCCAAGCAAGAAGAGCAGCGTATCAAAATTTTGCTCGCGCATCGCGAAAATCCGAGCTACTCGCACGCAAAGTTGGCAAAATCGCTAAAAGTTGCCAAATCAACCGTTACAAATGTAATTAAAGTGTTTGGGGAACGTTTGTCGACAGCCAGGAAGTCTGGATCGGGGGGAAATCGAAAACCGGAAGCCGCTGAGACGACAAAGAGAGTTGCCGGTAGTTTCAAGCGAAACCCTAACCTCTCTCTCCGAGATGCCGCAAATAAGCTGGGTGTATCGTCTACAACCGTGCATCGAGCCAAAAAACGAGCCGGACTATCGACTTACAAGAAGGTAGTGACTCCAAATCGCGATGATAAACAAAATACGACGGCCAAAGCGCGATCCCGGAGGCTGTACACGACGATGCTGACGAAGTTTGACTGCGTGGTAATGGACGACGAAACCTACGTCAAAGCCGACTACAAGCAGCTTCCGGGACAGGAGTTTTATACGGCAAAAGGAAGGGGAAAGGTAGCAGATGTTTTCAAGAACATGAAACTGTCAAAGTTCGCAAAGAAATATCTGGTTTGGCAAGCCATCTGTACCTGTGGCTTGAAAAGCAGCATTTTCATAGCTTCCGGGACTGTCAACCAAGAAATTTACGTGAAAGAGTGTTTGAATAAACGTCTGCTGCCTTTCCTGAAGAAACACGGTTGTTCCGTACTGTTTTGGCCGGATTTGGCATCTTGCCATTACGGTAAAAAGGCCATCGAGTGGTACGCCGCCAACAACGTGCAGGTGGTTCCCAAGGACAAGAACCCTCCCAACACGCCAGAGCTCCGCCCAATTGAGAAATACTGGGCTATTGTCAAGCGAAACCTAAAGAAGACCAAAAAAACTGCTAAGGGCGAGCAGCAGTTCAAGGCAAACTGGCTTTCTGCGGCGAAGAAGGTGGACAAGGTGGCTGTACAAAATCTGATGGCAGGGGTCAAGCGTAAGGCCCGGCAATTCGGATTTGGAAAAGCGGAAGCCTAACTGAATATTTTTCCTGAATTTTATACTAATTGAACTTGAAAAAGAAATTTAATTTGATTTTTTAAAAAAACACGCGTTTTCCCTTGACCAAATTTTGACCGTATCACCCTTTAGCTGTGTTAATTCACAATCAAATATTTTTTTAATTTAGTTTATTCCTTCAGGTGATCTTCTCTGATGGGAAGGAATTTAATTTGGATGGGCCAGATGGTATTTCTTCTTACTGGAGGGATTTACGAAAAGAACACCGTTATTTTTTCACACGCAACTTAGATGGTGATAGTTTGATGGTTTGGGGAGCATTTTGTCAGAGTGGAATGGTGAACATTGCTTTCCTTGAACACGAATGAACAGTCAGAAGTACCAGCGTTGCCAGATATACCGATATATCGGTATTTATACCGAATTCTGAACTAGATACCGATATACAGATAAGGTTCCTCAGAATACAGATTTTTGAGGTGTTATACCGATTTATTCCGATTTTTTTTTTAAATAATCAAATGATTATTGCCTGCCCGCGATAATAATTTCGGAGAAAATTATTGTGTATGACTTGTATCTTTTTGAATGTCTCAAATTTTTTGAGTCTTTAAAATTAAAAAAAAAAATCATCTTCAAAAATGTTGTACATACTCTTTCGATTAATGTTTCAATTTCCTCACCGGAGCTTCAGGGATGCTTCTAGATTTTGATTGCAGATCCACTGCGGAAACTTCATAAAAGTCCAGACTTTTGTGTAAGTTTTGATAAATTAAAGAATGTTAAAATTCTAAAACCCAGTCCAGCGAACACCAGTGAACTTAAGGAAACATAATAAATATTTTGGATACTTCACAAGTCCAAAGAACTTCTGGAAAATTTAATGGTTTTCAGAACAGTTCCAATAGTTTCACGAGAATTAAGAGAACTTTAGGAAGCTCCGAGAACATCGAGACAATCAGATCAGATCAATAAATTTCAAGAAAATCGTAAATTTTAAAGGAGTTTTGAGAAACTCAAGCAATTTTCGAAAACTTCAGCAATGTTCCGAGGGGCTCATGCAAATTTAAGAAATGTAAGGGAACTTACACGAACATTAGCACATTGTGAGAACATTTTATGGGAAGTTCCGTGCTTATTAATGGAAGTGTCGATCACTTTTAAAAAATAGAAAAATCGGGAAGATCAGAGAACTTCAATGCTGATGTTACAATAAATTCAAGACAATTGTGAGAGCGCTTAAGAAATTTCGTAATCTTCAAGAAAGTCTAGAGATATTCCGGTAGTCTTATTATAATCAGGGAAGTTCCAAGTATTTCAAAGAGGATCAGAGTACTCCAAAACATTCCGAGGAAATATGGAATATTCCTAAGTATGTACATTTCAGGAATGTTCCAAAAACTTCAGGGGCATTGCGGGGTCTTCAGGGATGTTTTATGACCATTTGGAAAATTTTCTGGATCATTAGAACCTCTCCCAAGAGCTCTTTCTTCCAGAATTATGCCTTTGTTTCTTTCGACTGTTTCGTAAGCGCTCTGGCTTCCGCCTTTCTCCAGAATGTTTTTCCAATCTACCTTAGGAAGTTTCTGCCAGCGTCTCCAGGAAGTTTCTTCCGTCTTCTTCTGGAAGTTCAACTGAACTTCTCCCAAAAATTTCATTCGTCTAGTTCTGGAATTTTGTCCAGTTGGTTTTTTAACTTCTTAAGGAAGGTTTTTCCGAGTTTCTCCTGGCTTCCCCTGGAAATGGCTACTTCTGGAATTTATTTCCGATTTCCAAAACTTTTCTGTCTTCCTTTGAATGTGAAATCCGATTTTTTTCTGAATGTTTCTTTAAATTTTCGCCAGAAGTTTCTCAATTTATGTATTGGAAGTTCCGCAGATGTTTTTCCGACTTATCTCAGAACTTTCCTCAAATTTCCTCCAGGAGAGCTTCGTTCTTCTTTTTCTGGATGTTATTTTCAGCTTCCTCCAGAAGCTACTTCAAGCATTCCCCGGAGTTTTCTTCCGGAATTTTCCAATCATAGTCCAAAAGTTAAAATTTTCGCTTTCAAAAACGGCAAAAATATAAAATTAATTAAAATAGAAAATACCGATTAATACCGATT